GAATTCTGTAACTGATGCAGTGAAGTCAGCAAAACCAGGAAGATAGTATACATAATAGTGAAAACAATGTAAACGGAACTAAACGTCATGCAGTTAGAAAGAAACCGAGCTTGGCCCTAGAGAAGGGTTGAGACCTCCCTCCTCCCTTCTTTACTGAGGTTGGAGACTATGGCTCTGTAATATTATAGGTCAGACTCTGGTGGCAAGTTGAACTACTTTTTTTGGACATCGTTACCAGGGATGGCTGTGGGGGAGGGGAGGGGTGAGATAGTCTTAGAAATGAAAGCAATACTTAAAAAAAAAAAAAAGAGGGGTAAGGAAACAAGCATTTTATTAAGCACCTACTATGTGCTGTGTGTCCGAGGCAAGATTTAACATAGGTCTTCTTGACTCTATCCACTGTGCCACTAAGATAATTATATGACTTTTTTTTTTTAAAATATCTGTACCAGTGAATTTCCCCACACCTAGGCCACCAGTTGAACTTGTAAATTCCTCTGATTGTGAGCTGGAGCTGGGCTTTATTTATCTGTGCTCTAAGCTCCCTTCAGGCTCTAACTACTGCGACCCTTCTGTGAATGGAACAGCTCCAGGGGTAGAAGAAAATTAGCTAAGAGAGCTAAAAGAAAAGGTATGTTTGGGGAGGAATGGGGAACGGGAATCGTGATCCGAGGGCAGCAGAAACTGCAAGTCTAAACATCTAGAATGTGTCTCACTCCCTCCTTTCCCTTGCCTCCCACTCCGACACCAGCTAGAGTATATCCTCCCAATGGTTGTGTGAACTTGGGCCGGCAAGCTCCATTGTTTTGTCCGTAAAATGGGGATAAATGTTGGGGGTACTGCCTCTCCTCACAGGGTGGCTGTGAGGATGGAAGTTATGAGGGAATTTTATTCTTACTCAGTTCCAAGGACTACGAGAGCCAGATTAGCTAGCAGCAGTCAATTTTCCAGTGACGGGGGCTTAGCTCTCCTGGACCCCGAGTTCAGAAAGGCTACCCAATGAGGCAAAAATACATTTTTTGCTCGATTCATTTGTTGCTTAAAAATCTCAGGGAGGGCCTCACCCCAAGGTCAGGTGGACTGCGTTTGCACCACATATACTCGAACACACACACACCCCATCTTCTGCCACAGGCTAGATACTGGGAAGGGGGGGAGGGAAGGAGGGTGGTATTAATTAGATCAGAAGACTAGATCATAGATCATAGGGAATCATATGAATATATTTGGTCTGTGTTCCACTCCCAGTGGGGCTGCTCACTCACTCTACAAAGATAAGCTGCTACCTAATCAGAAAGATTTCTATCGCAAGCTGTATGTGAGCTGGGGCAAGTTTCGTCCCAGCTCTGACAACCACTGTTCAAGAGGACCCTCCCAACTCTGCCCATTTATAAGCCGAGGACCCTTGTAGCTCCAGCATTCGGTGTTCTAAGGTCTTTCTGGGCACCGACATTCTATGGTCTGAGGAACCTCCCAGCTCTGGCAGCCTTTGTCCCAAGGTCCGTACCATCTTTGGCATTCATTCTATGTCTGAGGACCCTTCTAGCTCTGGCATTTGGAATTCGAAGGTCCCTTCTTTCTAGCTTTGACATTTTATGATCTAAGGACCCTCCCAGCTCTGGCATTCTCTGTTCTAAAGTCCCTCCCAGCCGTAACATTCTATAATCTAAGGACCCTCCCAGCTCTGACATTCAGTGTTCCAAGGTCCCTTCCAGCTCTGACATTCTGTGTTCTCAGGTCTCTTTCAGCTCTAGCATTCTGATTCCCAGAGGCCCTGAATTCAGGCAGGAGTTTGGGCAGCTGGCAGCAGTATCCTGGAACAGGGAGCAGGTGAGCACCCCCCTCCCTTTCCACCCCACTAGAAGTAGCTCTTAGGAGAGCAGCACCCCCTCCCTCCCAAATCCTTCCCTCCCCTGCCTCCCTTGCTGCCCAGAGGGCAAGAGAACCCACCATCAGCTTCCAAGGTACTTCACTCAGCTGGTGTTGCTGGGCCTGGAGGCTCACCCTCAGCATCTGGCTGTGAGCCGGTTCCCAAAGTCCCTAGCCAAAAAATGGTTCTCTCTTAAGCAAGCAGTCTGTGTAGCCCCAGAGGCAAAGCAGCAGTGACTTAGGGAGGGAGCCCCATAGAGAAAGTTGGCTTATTTCCTTGGGACTCCTGCCCCCCCCAACTCGACTCCCTAAGCCCACACACACAACAGGGTATAGAGCACCAAAGAGAGACAAATGGTGCCCAGTTGTGAGCCAAAGCTTGGCTCGATGCTTGGCAAGAGCAAACAGGGGCAAAGCCACCCAGGCCTTAGAAGAACACAGAACCCGCAGACGAGAGAGTTCACTGTCCAAATGCAGCAGGTCAGCAGTGGAGAAAGTGGCCACTGAGAGGCACTTGGTTAGAGAGATGTAGGCGTCCTCCTGGCTCAGCTGATTTGGGATGGGTGGGTGTTGGGGGAAATACATTGATAGACTCATAGTAAGTCTGAACTGCAAGGGATGTTTGAATGGAAAATGTCAGACCAGGAGAAGGGGACCTTGAAGGGCAACTAGTCTGACCTCCTCATTTTACAGGTGGGTAAAGGCGAGACTCTGGGAAATTTTTGACTTGCTCGTGTTCGTCTAAAACCAGGATGTGAACACAGGCCCTCTGATTCTCAGGCTAATGCTGTGTCTCCCCCAGTCCTTCAGCCTCTCTCTTCACTTCCCAAGCCCTGGATGAGAATTCCCCACTGAATGATTTCCTCTCTTGTTTTGATTTTTTGTTATTTTTAATTACTTTATTATTTTGGAGGTTGGGTCTCCCTAGCTCAGCGAGGTTAGAAGTGCACTAGTCAATCACAGCGGATCCTACACCCCATCCAACCCTCCCTAGGCAGCAAAGCGATTCACCAGCCTCAGCCTCCCTGGTGGCACCAAGCCCACAAGAATAACTTCCTTTCTGCTCTCTGTGGAGGAGGATCACATGATCCTCCATGCCTGAAATAGACTCCTTTCTCTTTCATCTCCAATAATCAAAAAATCATTTCTTTCCTTCATGCCTCCACTCAAATTGCTGCCTCCTCCGGGAAGCCTTCCCTGAAGCCATCCCTGAAAATCTCTTTCTTGAAATTCTTCATAAATCTCTCCCTTGCTGTCCTCACCATTTAATATCAGCTGATTTATGTAAGGCTATGAAGTTTACAGGGCATTTTTTCATGCAGAATTAGGTTTGTGTCTTATCTTGGGTCATTCTGGTTTCTATACACATCCTTGACCCCACCCCTCATCTCCATCACCCCCTCTCCCAGCCCCAATAGACAAAGCCCTTAGAAGGCAGAGATGCATAGTTTTTATTTTTTAATGTCAGTGTTTCTTTTTAGATTTAGATTTCAAGGGTTTTTTTGGGGTGAGGCAATTGGGGTTAAGTGACTTGCCCAGGGTCACACAGCTAGTAAGCGTTATGTGTCTGAGGCCGCATTTGAACTCAGGTCCTTCTGACTCCAGGGCCAGTGCTCTATACACTGTGCCACCTAGCTGCCCCCGCCTTGAGATTTTTCTTTTTAACAGTCATCACCAAACTCAAACATTTAAGCACAGAGAGAAGAGAAAAAGAGGATTACATGTAAAACTCTGAACTTTGGTTATAGGCAGATTTTAATAATTCACAAAAATAAGTTAAAAAATTAATAACAAATTATCTGCTTTATCTCTTTATCCTCTTCTGGTTTTTTTTTGTCTTTTATTTCTGTAGATTTTTGTTCTGTTGATGTATTTTTTTTCTTTTTTTGCATCTGTGCCATTTTCTACTGTCTCCCCATTCCCTCTGCTCAGCCAATGCTATTTGTCATCTTTGTATTCCTGGCTTGAGGCACAGAAGCCTGTCAGTGCACAGTAGGGACTCAGTAAATGTTTGCTGGGTTGATTAGAAAGAAACACCTAGTTTGGGAAAAGAGACTAACCAGGGGTGGGGAACCTTCAGGCTCGAGGCCACGTGTGGCCCTCTAGGTCCTCAAGGGCGGCCCTTTGACTGATTCCAAATTTCACAGAACAAATCCCCTGAAGAAAAGGACTTGTTCTGTCAAACTTGGACTCAGTCAAAAGGCTTCACTCAAGGACCTAGAAGGCCACATGTGGCCTCGAGGCTGCAGGTTCCTTACCCCTGCATAGGCTCTCTACCTTGAAGAGGTCTTAGACGTCTCCTGGTACCAAGAGGCAGCTAAGTGAGTGGAGTCAATGAGACCCAAGTTTAAATGCAGCTTCAGATATTTACTGGCTATCTGCCTCAGTTTCCTCCTCTGTAAAGTAGGCATAAGGATACCACCCATTTCCATGGGTTATTGAGGGGATAAAATGAGACAATATTTGTAGAGTGCTTTGCCATCTTAAAAGTGCTACAAAAAAACACTCTATTATTATTATTACCAACTCCCTTATTTTACAGAGGTGAAAAGGGAGGCCCAGAAACGGGGCCCAATAGTCAGAGACAAGAGGTGGTCTAGGTCCTTTATTTCAAATATCCATCAGATACCCATCCTGACTCGAGCTTCTGGAGTAGAATTTGGTGGAGCGAATCGTTTCCTTCAGTTCAGGTCACCCTCTCAGCCTACCAGGAACCCAAATTAAACCAACCAGCCTTCTTTTTAGATGCCATCTTGGGTGCCTTCACATGAAATCTGAAGGAAGTCTCCCATCCATTTACCCTCAGAGCCAAAGTGTGGACATACACCTTGTCCATGTTGGGATGGAGCTGATATGATAAGGCTCATACCTGAGCCTGACCCAAGCAGGGGAATCCTTAAAAATTGAACAAGGTAGACAGTCAGTCTTTGATTGAGTACAAATACATTATCTGAGCTACTTGTGACTTCAGAGAGAACTAGGGTCCAAGGTACTAGAGGGAGCACAGAAGCCTCAGTAATCAAGCTTTATTTTTAGGGCCAGCTGCATCAAGAAGCTAGGGGGAAAAGAGAGAACACGAGATTAAATAGGCCCAGTGGAATGGCCTGACCAGACTTCTGAGAACCAAGTTCATGAGTTATCTTCTCAAAGAGGACTCGAAGATGTATCCAGGCTCCTTTCAGTACAACAGCCACAGTGGAGACAGTCGAGGCCCCTATGGCCACCTGCAGAACCCCAACTTTGGGCCAGGCCCAGCCTATGCATACTATATGGGATACCATCAAGTGACCAACTTGGATGGCCATAGGCAGTGGTTTGGGAGCTGGGGGTCTCCCTACACCCCTCCAAAGATGGACTGGATGTCCTCTGGTGAAGACCCCTCAGATAATGTGAGGAAGTCTTCGTCAAGCAAGACCCCCTACAGCTCCCCTGACCCCAACAGCCTGCCCCTTTCCAGCACTCCTGGAGAGTACTCTCCCAAGGATGTGGAGCCCCACTCCTGCAGCAGAAATGGCCCCCCCACCTATGCTTGGATGCAAAAAACCATGGGATATACAGGTAAGGTCTAAATAGCATCCCCCCTTCTTGTTACCCAACTAACCTAGGCTCACAGGACTTGAGCTAGTCTGAAAGGTCCCTTCCAACCCCCTTATTTTATAGAAGAAAAAACTGAGGCCTATTGAGGGGTGGGGGAAGGGAAAGAAGTATATCTTTGGATCTGGAAGGGACCTCAGAGGTCATTTAGTCTGACTCTTTTCTTTTTTTTTAATTGGTTTATTTATTTTTAGTTTTCAACATTCACTTCCATAAGGTTTTGCATTTTCAATTTTTCCCCCGACAGCATGTAATCTAATATAGGCTCTACATATACATTCATATTAAACGTATTTTCACATTAGTCATGTCGTAAAGAAGTATTAGAACCAATGGGCAACTCCCTCATTTTACAGAGAAGAAACTGAGGCTCAGAGAACCAAGTGACTTGCCCAGGGTCACCCAGGTAGTAAGTAGCAAAGCGGGGATTTGAACCCAGGTCTTCTGATTTTTTTCCCTACACCAAACTGCCTCCAGAGAGATCAGGGAATGTTGGCCTTCACACAAATCACACCCTGACCCCAATCTAGATAGTACAAGATACTGAACTTATCTTTTGCCCTCCATAGGTAAGACGCCAAGGGGTCCAGGTGAGGCAGGAGAAAGTCACAATATTTTTCTATACTTGTGCAAGTTGGTACAATCCCTATCTGTGGATATTAAGCAGGCTTTTTCTCCAATGCAGGAGACCAAGTCTGTCACCCTCTCCCTCCCCACCCCTATCAGGTTTCTATCTTCTCTTGGCCCAGCATCAAATGCGCCTGGTGGGGAGGGGTGGAGGAGGGCAGCACAGTTAGCTAGTGGCATAGGTCAAATTGTCCTGATACTGAAATTCATGAAGGGAGAGAGAGCCTGAGCAGGGAAACAGCAGAGCTAGATGGAACATTGGATATCACTGAATCCAAATCCTCTAATTTTCTTTCTTTTTTTGAAGAAAGAGTAAAGAATGCTTTCCTGCCCCTCCTCCCCACCAAAGAGAGAGAGAGAGAGAGAGAGAGAGAGAGAGAGAGAGAGAGAGAGAAAATACCAAACCAAAAACCTTCTCTGGAACAGAACACTGAATGTCAAAAAAATGCTTCAGCCAGCCTTGTTTCCTTTCGGAAACCACAGCAGGACTCATTGAGATCAGCTACAATGAGGACCTTCCTAGAAGTTCAGAGCTGGAAGGATCCTCGGGGATGAAACATCCACTTTCCAGAGGATGAGGACAAAGAGACCAGTCAGAGGAATGGAGCTGTCTGAGGTCTCACAGCTAATGACTGGCAGAGAATACTCTTGGGTCTCCAACAAGACTCCTCTTACACCTCCAAACTTCTCTCCCTTAAAAGCTCTGAAAGGCATCATATTGCCAGGTGAAAAACCTGATGATGAGAAAAGAAGGTGGTGGTCTCACTAGGGTATTTTGTGATTTTGAGCTATACCAATATGTGCAGGATTTGTATTCGCATGGGGTGACGGGAAAGAGAAAGGAAGGGGGAAAGTACTCCCTTTCACTTACGCAGATTAAAAACCCCTTTGCAGTTGATCCAGTGGTGTTCAAGAGTTTCTCTAAGCAGAAGGGCAGGCACTTGGACCCCAATCCCCCACCCCCACCCCTTTGCAGCCAACCGGATAATTGAACCTCTCAGATACTGGCTGGTGCTCAGACATCGAGCACCCAGTCCATCCCTGGGTCTGCACTGGGAGACTTTTGAACATACTAGATCCTGCCAGAGGTTTTGCCCATCTAAGGCATGGAAAGACTGGTGTCTCTTCCCCCCCGATGAGGAGATTTTAGAGGAAGAAGCTTACTGATACATCACCACACATCGACTGCCCTACGAGACATGCCAGTGGGTTGATAGATAGTTCTAGCAACTTAACCAACACTCCTGTACTGTGTACCTGAAGGAAAGCTCAGTAATTTTAGGGCCAGGGAAAACCCCAAAGCAGACCCGCCTAATAATTCCTTAGTGTTTTCTACTCCATCATTGATCTGAGCGTTTTCTTTACTAATCTTGCTAAGGAACAAGTCAGAGCTAATCATAATCATGCCCCAGTGCCCCAAGCACCTCTCCAGGACTCCAAGTTATAGCTGCTCTTCTGCATTGGTGGAGGCAGTTTCCACTCTGGGAGGTCTCTATGCTAATAAAATTCCAGGCCTGTTCCAAATAAACTTCTAACCTTAAGAGTTCCCATTATTTTCTCTTTAAAGATGAGAAAATTGAGACCCCAGGAAGGGAAGTCATCACACAAAATCTACAGCAAGGAAATGGTGGGGCCAGTACCGTGGCATAGGTCTTCCAGTTCCAAATTTGGTGCTCTCTCTGCTATACCAAGCTGCTTTCCTTCTGTGTGATCTGTGTAGGGAGGTATCAGACTAGCTGTATGCCATTGGCTATCTCAGTAGATGGGCTCACTCAACAGACAGCCATCACTGGGGTTATTAAAGATGACTCGGGGGCAGCTAGGTGGCACAGTGGATAGAGCACCGGCCCTGAAGTCAGGAGGACCTGAGTTCAAATTCGGCCTCAGACCAAACACTTGACACTTACTAGCTGTGTGACCCTGGGCAAGTCACTTAACCTCAATTACCTAAAAAATAATATGAAGCGGGATACTCTAGAGAGAAGTCCTAGGGAGGTAAGGAGCAGAAATGGGGTAAAGGGAGCAATGATTTCTTTGCTGTGAATTCCTAGAAAGACTGATCTTTGCACTTTCTTGTGCTAAAGCTGAAATAATAATACCCAGTCATGGGACTATAGCCATTGATGTTTATCAAATATACACTTTCTTCTTGTCAAATGGGTAGAGCCAATATTATTATTCTGGTTTTACAGTTAAAGAAACTGAAGCTAGTAAGTTTCTAAACAGGGACTGGTCCCCAGGTCTCCTGACTCCAAGTCCTTACTACACCAAGAGTACAAAGCTAATTGACTCATTGTAGGACTGAGCCCACAACTTTGTTCTCCCAGGCTCAGGGTTCTAACCATCTGAGATAAGTGGCCTAAACAACCTCAGGCTGCTATAGCCTTGAGCATGCACAGTCAGGAGACTGGTTTTCTGGGAGAACCTGGGAATCAAGCCTTGTCTTCTGCCCTGTACCAAGGGATGTGAGGGAGGGTCCTCTGGATTTTGTCTGTACTTGACAGTATTGTACACAGAAAAATATCCAGGGAGTTTAGGCATAGGTGAAAGAATCCATAGAATTAAGAGGACATAAAAACCCTAGAGCACCAGTTCAAACAATCAGCCAAGCAACAACCATTCATTAAGCACCTACTGTGTACCTCAAACTGTGCCAGACCTCAGGGATAAGAGTACAGGGAAACAACCTTAATTCTGAAGGTCCTTGCATTCTAAAAGGGAAGACAACAAGGGAATACCGACATATACATACACATCCAGAAAAAAATGCAAGGTGGTTAGAGAGGGAGGGAGGGAGAGAGGGAGGGTACTAGTAGTGGAGGCTATCAGGTAAGTCTTCGAGAAGGTGGTGTTTGTGCTATGTCTTCAAGGAAGAGAGGGGCTCTGTAAGGTGTCTGAGCTCAGGATGTTGGAGCTAGATGAGACTTTGGAACACAAGATGGCAGGACTCAGAGGGACCTTGAGGACTTTCTTGTCCAAGGCGGGGGAAGTGACTGACCTAAGGTCACACAGGTACTATACAGTACAGGCAGAATTGGAACCCAAATAGCATGAGGGAAAGGGAGGAGGCACAGGGGTGGGAGATAGGGAGTTCGAAAGGGGATGAGAAACCAAAGGCTCTGGAATACCTGGCCTCTCCCTCCCCCTAGGCTGGGGATGGAACAGGCAGTTTGCACCTGTACTGGATTGCCGTATGCCAAACGGCTTTCACCACCTCCTGGAGGCTGTGCCTTCACAGGCAGTGTCAAGTAAGGAGTTAAGCAATCATCCAGCAACTTTGATCCTGGTAGAAAAGTCATGTGTGACTTCTTTCTTTCCCAGAAAGACTTGCCTCACCTGTTTGACTCCCTGGTCTGTGCAAATGGGCCCAGCTCAGTAAGTGTTGAGCGAAGGGTGATGGGAAAGGTTGACCATTGACCTTAAAATCCTAGGCTTAGAGTTGGAAGGGAACTCAGGGACCAGCTAGTCCACCCCTTTATTTTTACAGAGGGATAAACTGAGGCGCAGAGGAGGAAGTGACTTGCCCAAGGCCACACATAGGATCCTGGCTCTAGAGCTGCAAGAGACCTCAGAAGTCATTGAGTCCAACCCCCTCATTTTACAGAGAAGGAAACTGAGGCCGGGGGTGGGGGGGAGGACTTGCCTAGAGTAGCGGTCATTTCCCCTCCCTAGGCTTCAGTTTCCTCCCCGTAAAATGAGGAGACTGAACTAACTGAGCTTTGGGGTTTCCCTTCTGACTCTAACTCTCTGGGCCTCAGAGGATCGTCCAGCCTTGTTAGTGGGAGGCTGCCGGAGAGAAAGTCTTCTCCTGAGTCTTAGGTTCTGAGATCCTCTCTGTCCCAGGGGGCACCTAGCCCTTTGAACACTTCTCTCGCCTGCCTCCAGTGCAGACGCCTTTGATGTGCGGTCCCTCACAAAGGGAAAGCTGGCCTTCCACAAAGGGTGATGATTTTCACAGCAAATAAAGAAGCCTGGTCTGGCCTTAATTGTCCCCGAAAAGAAACTGCTGGAGGGAAGGGGAGGGCAGGGGAGGGCCGGAGAGGGGAGCACTGGGCTTTATGGGCTCTGGAAGTGCTGCTTGAGACTGAGGCCTGCGCTCTTTCTCCTCCCTCATTCTAGTCTAGTGCCTGGCAAGCCAAAGAATGGGGAGAAAGGGAAGGGGGGGATGGGGGAAATTGGGAGAGTGCCGGCTCTGAGCAAGACCTCAGGTGTTAAGCCCTAGATGGTTGTGAGCCCCTTATTCCTGGGGAATCTGGTGGAATGGGGAGAACATAAGATTTCAAGGCAAAGGACCTGGGTTCCAATCCTGCTTCTGCTACCACTACCTGTGTGACCTT